GATGCTGACGCGCTCCGTGCGCGCGTGCCTGAGTCACGTGCGCATCGGCACGTGGGCCCTCGTCGAGGGCCTCGTTGCCCTCGGCAGGATACAGGTAACTCTTGGTATTAGGGGCGGGTTACCCTCGACAGTATACAGGTAACTCTTGGTATACTCTTGGTATTAGGGGCGGGTTACCCTCGGCAGGATACAGGTAACTCTTGGTATTAGGGGCGGGTTAACCTCGACAGGATACAAGTATTCTTGGTATTAGGGGCGGGTTACCTCAACAAGATACAGGTAACTCTTGGTATTCGGTTCGCGTCCTCTCATTAGAAGTTTGGTCGTCCTGCACACGTACAACTTACCCTCTACATTCAATATCATTATCAAATATTAAATTAATAGAATTGCCATACCAATAAAATTTTGTAATTACAATATAATATAGAAAAAAGTATGAGACAAATATAATTCAGCTTTAATAATAAACTGACTGAATAAGATTATAAACGGACCTAAAGACGGCCGCCGATATGCCGCCTATAATAATTGCGACGTCGTGATGAGTGACGTTATTATTCTGCTTGAGTGACGTTAGCTTCTGCTTTTTTACGCTGCTTTTACCGTGATTATTCTTGTGATTTGCCGTCTCTGGTTACGTCTTCTTTGTTCTACTTGTCTAGTCATCTGTACCGTTGCTGGTCCAGTCATCTGTACCGTTGCTGGTCCAGTCATTTGTGTCGTTGCTTGCCCAGTCATTTGTGTCGTTGCTTGCCTAGTCATTTGTGTCGTTGCTTGCCCAGTCATTTGTGTCGTTGCTGGTCCAGTCATTTGTATCGTTGCTGGCCCTGTCATTTGTATCGTTGCTTGCCCAGTCATTTGTATCGTCGCCTGCCCAGTCNTTGCTTGCCCAGTCATTTGTATCGATGCCTGCCCAGTCATCTGCTCCGGCATTTCCGTGTCTCTGTTTCGTAATAATTTTAGTTGTATATTGATTTTCAACCCTAAGCTTGCTTTACTTTTATTCAAATCAATCTGAATCTTTTTCTGCAGCGACATAATAACTTCTTCCTGGTATCTGTTATTCCGTCACTCGCTTGTTTCTTCGTTATCGGCTGCTCCTTCTGATCATCACTTGTATTTTCATTGTTCCTGCATGACCAAGATCTACTGTTGCCCTATCATCCTGTCCCTTCCCATCATCTGTCTCTTCACATCATGTCACTTCTCATCATCTGTCTCTTCTCATCACATCATGTCACTTCTCATCATCTGTCTCTTCTCATCACATCATGTCACTTCTCATCATCTGTCCCTTCTCATCTCCTGTCCCTTCTCATCACCTGTCCCTCCTCATCTCCTGTCCCTTCTCATCTCCTGTTCCTTCTCATCTCCTGTCCCTTCTCATCTCCTGTCCCTTCTCATCTCCTGTCCCTTCTCATCTCCTGTCCCTTCTCATCTCCTGTCCCTCCTCACCACCTGTCCCTCATCACCTTTCATTCCTCACCACAATTCCACATCATGCTTCTTATCCAAACCTACGGGTATAGTTGCGATCGCCTGTCGTCGCCTTATTAATGTAAAAAAATATAATAATATTTTAAATTCATTAAAATTGATAATAATAAGTCAGTTAATATTTATCTCTGCTCGTCGTCTCTGCGGAAAACAAATTCCTGGCTGTGAAAAAATGCTTGATCATTTCATCCCGGGAGGGGGAAATGAGCGGGTGTCGGGAGTGATCGGATAGGGAGGAATAGGTTGGGAAATTAGAGGGTGATAAGAAAAATTATACTGTATTAGGGTAGAATGAATGTACTTTGAATTATCGACATGGTCAGGGCGGCAAGTTAAATTGTGTAACCGGTGTGAACAATCTGATGCCAACGCGGCTACATGGCTTGCGATTTACGTGACCAGAAAACGCTGGCGTCTTAGTATGGTATAGTAGCTTCATGCAGCGTTGAAGAGGAGGCCTGGATAGGCCTGTCGCCGCATCTTGTACTTTTCTTGACTAGTTCAAAGATCTAAAAGACTGGCCTTTTAATCAAGTATTTTCAACGGACGGTAGGTTTAAAATCGTTTCTATACTTTCAGTTGTTCCATAGGGTAGGTACTGTAGGCATTTTAAGACTAAACATATAATGCTCCTGCATGGCCTTGTCAGTCTGTTCTTGAACGCGTTTATACTCGGAGCGAGGAGCGTGTTGCGTATCGCTATGTGTAGAATACGCAGCAATACAATGATATGGAACACGTTTCGTATTACATTGTGTATGAAATACACGGCTAAACAATGAGCGATATGGACACGTCTTGTGTATAGAATACACGGCAATACAATAATACGTTTAGTGTTTCTGAGAACATTTCTTTACTAAATATTAAGATGGATCCAAACGATTGAGAAACCCAGCTGGTAACTAATGTTTAGAATTGTACTTAAAAGTTAGTAATAAGTTGGTAAAATAAATTAAATGACATCTTCAAAAAGAAGCGTTCCTCTAGACGAGTGGCCATGCCAAACTAAAATTACTTTCAAAACCCCATGTGTAAAAAAAATTATTCGTGTTGACAATCTTAAAGTAAGATGTCGATACAACCACCTGCATTACCACAGCTAAATTCCCTTAAACATGTATTTTCGTGTATAGCATGTTCATTGCGAGAACATTCGAAAGGCATTTGTACCTTCACACAACTCCATTCATCGTGCATGTTGGATACACTCGTGATAGTTTACACGTGTATACAGGGTCCGCCATATTTATGGCAACGGATGTTTGCTATATAAAATAAATTGGTTTCTAGGAGACTTTTCTTTCATAGTGAAGCTTAATATCATCAATTCATCTATTATATATTGCAGAAGTCTAAGGTGTCTAAATTCACTATTACTTATGGCAGTAGATAGAAATGCAATTGTAACCCTTCATGAAAAGAGCGAGAGTAATTCAGTCATTGCAAAAAAGCTCCAAATTCGTTGTGAAACTGTGTGGAAGGTGGTAAAAAAATCAAGGAAACTGGTGAAACATGCAATCCACCTGGTCAAGGAAGAAAACGAAGTGTCCGAACCAAACAATTGGTCAAAAACACGAGGGAGAAGTTGAGGAGAAACCCTCGTCGCTCAGCTGCAAAATTGACTGCAGAAGCAGGAGTCAGTCAGACATCAATGCGTAGAGTCCTCAAAGATGACCTCAAAAAGATGACCTCAAAACCTCCCCTTACAAGATGCAAACAAGGCATGAACTAACAGACCGTCATGAACGAATGAGGCTCGAAAGATGCCAGCACATTCTGGATCTCATTGAGGATGGCACGCTGCCCAACTTGGTGTTCAGTGACGAGAAAAAATTTGACATTGAATAAAGCGTTAACCGTCAAAATGACAGAGTTTTGAGTCGGGATGGATCTGTGGCAACCAGAACAGCAACACGACGTCAAAATCCCATGCCCGTGATGGTTTGGGCCGCGGTACCGCCACTGGGAGGTCCCCACTCGTTTTTGTCCCCTCGGGAGTGAAATTGAAGTCAGCGATACATTTTGGACATTTTGGAAGCTGTGTTGTTACCTTAGGCCCGTAAACACTTCAACGGCTCACCATGAAGTTTTCAACAAGACTCTGCCCCATCACATGGCTCAAACATGACCCAAAACTGGATTCGGGGTCACATCATAGCGTTCATTAGCAAAAATGAATGACCCTCAAGAAGCCCTGATTTGAATCCTCTCGACTTTTCTGTGTGGGCTATTATAGAGAGTAGGGTCTGCAGAACACCTCATGATTCTTTGGATAGTTTGAAGTCTAAATTGACACGAGAATGGGACTTGATCCCTCAATAAATGCTGCGTGTCTCCAGTGAAGCTTTCCCGCGTGGATTGGAGGCCGCCATTAAAAATCAGTGTGGTCATATTGAATGAATATATCTGAGAATTGTTTAGGTAATTCTTGGCTACTAGCTCATCCAATAAAAAAAACAATGCACCTGTTTGTTTCATTGAGAAATAACAAAAAAACATGTGTTGCCATAAATATGGCGGACCCTGTAGGTTATACGTGTAAACATCTACGTTGCATGCATGTGTTCGGACATCGTACTTTGTGGTGCTTTTGATTCAAATTTTGATCAAATAATTTTATTTTAAACTAAATTAGCTGGTACTCTATTTTTTTGTTCTTATCGGTGGTATTTCTGATGTTCGCTTCACTGTTCATATTAATAAAAGTTTTTTTATTTAATCCCATAGTTTGTCTATGTTAATATACATTAATACTTTTTCCATTAGAAACAAAAAATATCATCCAAGTTTTTCCCGTTTTTCTATTCGCTAAAATCTTGCATTTATCTGTTCTTTTCATGTTCTGTTTTTGGCTGTGCTTTTATCGGTTATCTTTACCCGCATGATGTAGAATGATTGTAGCTTTTTATTTATACATCATTATTTATCTGAACCTATTTACTGTTTGTTGGTCTCCTACTGCTCCTATGGACCATGTCAGTGATATTTGATGTGAAGAGATAGACGATAACTGATATACGATTGATATGATGTGTCCATGAATATGTATTTTTTGTATAGGTAATTTCAAATGCTATAAATCACCCACGACAATCATACACAGTCATACACGACTATCATACACAACAATCATCCATGACAATCATACGCGACAATCATACGCGACAATCATACACGACAATCATACGCGACAATCATACCCGACAATCATACACGACAATCATACGCGGCAATCATACGCGACAATCATACACGATAATCATGCGCGACAATCATACGCGACAATCATACACGACAATCATACACAACAATCATACACAACAATCATACGCGACAATCATACACGACAATCTCAACTCCCGTTCATGTTAATAATTGATATTTCACGTCATGTATACATTCATTATATCGATAATTTCTGAATACCTTTAATCCTGCTGGATAATCTCGCTCATTACGTACACTAAGCAGACCCCCTCCCTCTCTCCCTCCTGCAGAGCGTCCTGCAGCTGCAGGAGCGGCAGGCGTACGTCACCGGCGCTCCTGCAGAAGGCGCTGCAGTCGCGCTCAGGCGCGCCTCCTTCGCCTGGCCGCCCCTGCACAAGCCCGTGCAGTCCAGGTGAGCGGCAGACCATCAGGCTGCTAATCATGTAGCAAAATCATGTTTCAAATCACGTTGCCAATCATGCTGCTGATCATGTTGTCAATCAGGCTGCTCGTCATGTTGTCAATCATGCTGCTAATCATGTTGTCAATCATGCTGCTAATCATGTTGCCAATCATGCTGCTAATCATGTTGTCAATCAGGCTGCTCGTCATGTTGTCAATCATGCTGCTAATCATGTTTCAAATCATGTTGCCAATCATGCAGCTAATCATGTTGCAAAATCATGTTTCAAATCACGTTGCCAATCATGCTGCTAATCATGTTGTCAATCATGCTGCTAATCATGTTGCCAATCAGGCTGCTCGTCATGTTGTCAATCATGCTGCTAATCATGTTTCAAATCATGTTGCCAATCATGCAGCTAATCTTGTTGCAAAATCATGTTTCAAATCACGTTGCCAATCATGCTGCTAATCATGTTGTCAATCATGCTGCTAATCATGTTGCCAATCAGGCTGCTAATCATGTTGCTAATCATGTTGCTAATCATGTTTCAAATCATGTTGCCAATCATGCAGCCAATCATGCTGCTCGTCATTCATCCAATCATTTATCCAGCTACAGCCAATCTTACATCCAGTTGCAGTCGATATCCACATAAAAAAACTTTACCTGTGCGGAGGTAGCCATAGTCTATAGACCGCCTGCATGTTCACCGGAAAATTTCAACAAAACCCTTAAGGAAATAGAGACCATGCATGGTGGCTGAACTGGGTGACCCAGCCCCCAGCCTGATAATTGGTGGGGACTTCAATCTCCCACGAATCCGTTGGACAAGCCCTGGCGGCTTAGAGGTCGATGACCGCGACACAAGTCAAGAAGCCCAACTAGTGAAGTTTGCTGCGGAACACTTGCTCAGTCAGACGGTACGGTCGCCGACAAGAGAACACAATATTCTCGATCTCTTCTTTACTAATAATGAAAGAATGGTGGTTGACGTCCGCGTTGAAGACACCTCACTGTCTGACCATCGCTTAGTGATGGTGGAAACGACAATTGGAATTGAAACCCTGCCCAGGTCTATACCCCAAGAGGGACTGGCAGGACTTAACTTTCACAATCGAAGAACGGATTGGGGGCAAGTTGGAATGAAATTGACGAAATAGATTGGAGAGCGGAGTTTCACGAGATGAATGCTGAGGAAATCTACACAAAACTGTGTGAGAAACTAGCACAGTTATGTGTGCGTCATACCCCGAGAAAAACTGGCCCCAAAGTTCGCAGCATTCCGGGAGACCGACGAATCCTCAATAAGATAAACGGACTGGCTCCCAACTTTGAGAGTGAGACATCCAGAATTATAACTAAAGGAGAGGGAGGCTATGCAGAATTCCCCCATTTAATAACCGAGCCGCGGCCAGAGTACAGACTCTTCGTGAGGGATCACTGTCCGTGGTAGGACCGAGGCTCTTTAATGCCTTGCCAAAAGCGCTGAGAGGAGGGGAGTTCACCCTTGCAACATTCAAGAGACGACTGGACAAGTGGTTGAGAAAGATCCCAGACTGTCCAGTAATGGGAAACTACCATCAGCAAGTGACAAGCAACAGCATCTTGCATCAGCTGGCCCAAAGGAGGGCAAATAGACGGAACACTGCCAACGTTACATCCGGGACCCGAGGGCGGGGTGATCTGCCTAGCGACGACTCGGAGACGGAGGACGGCGAAGGCGGAGCATCAGCGTGACCGGGGACTAGGAAGTCCCGAACTCATCATAAGGTCAATCTTTCGTCCACCAACTGCCAATCATGCATCCAGTAGCAGCAAATCATGCATCCAGTAGCAGTCAATCGTGTATTTACGAATCCCTCCCAAAGTCCACTCTCCCCTCACGCAGTCTCACGCTTCGCTTCATACACCTTGTCTCACCCATCATCCTTTGCCCCTCGCTACTCCCCTTACCTATTCACCCTCGTCCTTCCACACCCCCAGTAAGGCCGGCAGGGCGCTGTCGCCCGCCCACAAGATGCTGCTGGACGCCCGCGGCGCCGCCCAGCCTCTGCTCTGCGACATCAGCCTCTCCGTCGCCAAGGTCAGCCGTCTTATTACCCTCTTGATGCCCTCTAATTATCTTGTTATGGTGCCCTTATTACCTACCCTCTTGCTACCCTCCAATTATCTTATCTTGCTTCCCTCATTATCCTCTTGCTACCCTCTAATTATTTTGTCTTGCTTCCCTCATTACCCTCTTGCTACCCTCTAATTATTTTGTCTTGCTTCCCTTATTACCCTCTTGCTACCCTCTAATTATTTTGTCTTGCTTCCCTTATTACTCTCTTGATACCCTCCAATTGTCTTGCTTATTTCATTACCCTCGTTCTACCCTCCAATTATCTTGTCTTGCTTCCCTCATTACTCTCTTCCTACATTCCAATTATCTTCTTTTGCTCCCCTCATTACCCTCGTGATCCTCACTCTAACTTTATTTACGACAGTTATCGCATTATTAACTAGTATTTCAGACCCAAATAAGCCAGCCAACATTCCTGGAATAATTACATCCGCTGTACAGGGATGCAGGCATGGAAGCGGCGAGCTATCAACACTTTCAGTGACTGGATGTGTTGATGTTGCGGGTGTTGATGTGAATGTGTTGATATTGTATCTGTTGATATTGTATCTCTTAATTCTACATATATTTGTTGATATTGTATGGTATATATTGATATTGCATCTGTTTATATGGTATATCTTTACAGTTCTTCTGTTGATAGTTTACCTGTTGATGTCGTATCTGTTGATATTTTATCCGTTGAATTTTGTCCCCCAGGGGGAGCTGGTGGGGGTGTGCGGGGGTGTAGGGAGTGGCAAGTCATCCCTCCTTCATGCCATCCTGGGGCGCATGACACTCCTGGGGTACGACGACCTCTCTGTGGGGGGTCTTGACGATGCCCCAGCCTCAGGGGAAGAGGAATTCGATTCAGAAAAATCCCCCGCGTTGGGGAAGAATGACGGAATTCCCCATCAGCCGGGGACCGTGGCCGTTCAGGGGGACATCGCGTACGTGGGGCAACAGGCGTGGATCCTAAACGCCTCCGTCAGGGATAATATCCTCTTCGGGGAGCCTTTCGATCCCCTCAAGTGAGTCGTATGATCCCCTCAAGTGAGTCGTATGATCCCCTCAAGTGAGTCGTACGATCCCCTCAAGTGAGTCGTATGATCCCCTCAAGTGAGTCGTATCATGGGAAATCCTTGTTCAAATTTCCTCTAGTACATGCTTATTTGTTAATTAATTTCGCCGCTAGAAATATTCTCGTAATACCCACGCTTAAATTTTTTTTAAACAAATATCGCCGCTCAAACATCCTCCATTTGTATCCACGCTGATCTTTTTTTTAACGACCGAGTCCTGCCGCATTTTGTATCCAAATATCCTTTAAAATTTTCACCCACGATATTTTTTATATATATTTCCCGATATTTGTATCCAAATATCTTAACATTTTTACGATATTTTTTTATATATTTTTCCCGATATTTGTATCCAAATATCTTTTAAAATTTTCACCCACGATATTTTTTAAATACATTTTTCCCGATATTTGTATCCAAATATCTTTTAAAATTTTCACCCACGATATTTTATTTTTTTATATATTTCTCCCGATATTTGTATCCAATTATCTCTCCAATTTTTCACCATCTCACCAACTAGATACTACCGCGTGGTGTACGCGTGTAGCCTGACCCAGGACCTGGACGCTCTGCCTGCTGGGGACCTGACGGAGGTGGGGGAGCGCGGCGTCAACCTCTCCGGGGGGCAGAAGCAGCGCCTCTCCCTCGCCCGGGCGCTCTACTCCAGCAGGAGTGTCTACCTACTCGATGACCCACTCAGCGCCGTCGATGTCCAGGTCATGATAATGCACTTAGGACACTCAGAAAAATGATCCAAGTCTTGATAATGCGCTTTGTATACTCAGAAAAATGACCCAGGTCTTGATAATGCACATAGTGCACTCAGAAAAATAACCCAGGTCTTGCTAATGCACTTAGTGCACTCAGAAAAATAACCCAGGTCTTGCAACAAACCTGCACTGCGTACACTTCCCTGCGCTCGATCTATTGTTTTTCTCACATATGTTTGTTCTTCAGTATTGATAGGTCGATCTGTTTTATATTAGGAATTATTATCATGTACAATATTCCTCGAATAATGCCTGTTGCTTCAGAAGCAATGAGCTCTTGAACCGTTTCTTTTTTCTAGTGACTTGAAGAAGGTCCCATTAGTAACTGGTTTATATTGGAGTATTGTGGTTGTAGTCTCGGCTTCATTATGCAAAGTTGAAGCATAGGGTTGAAAAAAATTCTTCTATCCTGATGCTAAGTTATCCATTTTCTTTGTCGAAGCTAATGATTAACGAAGCCTAAGGCGTCAGAATATGCCGGTGTTTAAAATTCCCACGACGCTTCAGGTGGGCTGGCACATATTCAGGTGGGCCATTAAGACAGGCCTTAAGAAGGCCACGGTCATCCTGGTCACCCACCAGCTGCAGTACCTGCCTGAGTGTGACCGCGTGGTGCTGCTGCAGGGAGGACGCATCATAGAACAGGGGCCTCATGCGCAGCTCATGCGCGACGATGGTGAATACGCAGCCCTCTACACCAGTCACCAAAACGCCACAAACCCCCAAAACACCACCAACTTTCAAAACACCTCCAACCACCAGAACACCACCGACCCCCAAAACACCACCAACCCTCAAAACACCTCCAACCCCCAAAACATTACCAACGACCAGAACACCACCGACCCCCAAAACAAAACCAACCCTCAAAACACCACCAACCTCGCGAACTGCAAGACCCCCATCTCCAGGACCAGAAGTTCTTCCGCCGGTCACGTGAAGGCCCTCGACCGCTCCTACACCGACGTGTCCTTTGAAAGCTGGCGCCGTAAACGCACCGTCTCGAGCGCCTCTACGGGTAGCGCTGCCTATGGGGGAAACGTGGCCATCGGGGGACCTGTTATGGAGGAAGAGGATGGCCTTGTCGCTTCCCTCTATAGTGACTCCGGTAATCTTGTTGACCATGACTCACGACCCTCTTCATTCTCTGGGGACCGTCGGGCCAGTTCCATGTCAGGGCCAAAGGACCCAAAAGTAATCCCTGGCGGGGCCATCACGACCGAGGAGCGCGTGCAGAGCGGCAGTGTACAGCGGTCAACCTTCTTTGCGTACATCAACGCTGCTGGGGGCATGTGCGTGGCCGCTGCTGTGGTCCTAAGCTTCGGTGTTAACGTCGGCACGACTGCCTTCAGTTCGTGGTGGCTGTCCCACTGGCTTGCGGCTGGCAGCGGTGCTAACATTAGTCACGTTGAAAACATCGGTCACGTTGATAACATCACTGATAATGTGGGATACAACAGCACCGGCCTCAGCAACAGCACATGGGATATCAACAGCAACAACACGAGTCCTGTTGGCATCAACGTGACATTCGATAGCAGCAACAACATCGCAGACAACCCACACCTCAACTTCTACCTGAGCGTCTACGGCAGCACCGTGATCTTCATCCTAGCGACGTCGCTGCTGCGTGGAGTGATCTTCATGAAGACCAGCATCCACGCGTCCACGCGCCTTCACGACCAAGTCCTCAACGTCGTCTTCCGAAGTCCCTTAACCTTTTTCGACACGACTCCCGTGGGTCGCATCCTAAACATTTTCTCAAGGGACATGGACGAAGTGGATGTTCGACTACCTATGAGCCTGGAGATGTTCCTGCAGAACATTTGGTTGGTCAGCTGTTCGCTGCTGCTTGTATGCCTCGTCTTCTGGCAGTTCCTGCCAATGTTAGTGATCCTCGCCATCATCTTCATGGTCATCAGAAACATCTTTAGAATCGGCATAAGGGACTTCAAACGCCTTGAGAACGTCTCCCGGTCCCCGCTCTACAGCCACGTTAGTACGACACTTTCAGGACTTGACACCATCCACGCCTACGGTAAACAGGACCTCTTCTCTAACAAGTTCTACTACCTCTTCGATGAAAGTTCGACGGCTTTTTACCTTTTCAACTGCGCCATGCGGTGGCTGGCAATAAGACTGGACATGTTGGCCCTCGGGGTGACCACATGCACCGCTATTCTCACTGTCCTCCTGCGTGGGCAAGTGGCGGCTGCGTTCGCGGGTCTTGCACTGGCTTACTCCTCCCAGCTCTCCGGTATATTCCAGTACACTGTACGACTCAGCACAGAAACCGAGGCCAGATTCACTTCAGTTGAAAGAATTCAGTCTTACATAGAAACCCTTGAGAGTGAAGGGCAGCACTCGGAGGTGATACCTCCGGCGACGTGGCCCACCCACGGCCGCATCTGCTTCAGGAACGTGGCCATGCGCTACCGCCACAACACGCCCCTCGTCTTCAGGGACCTCTCCTTCGACGTGCATGAGGCTGAAAAAATTGGTGAGTTTTAATGAAGTTCTCTGAAACTTTTTTGTTCAGAACATTTTTTGTTATATTGTATTATGTCGTAAGTAGAACCGAGATTAAAACTAAAATGCAGCAACAAATATATCAAGTGCATATTTTCTGGACAGTATCAATAGACTCATAAATTCTTTCGCTCCTTGGCTATTTTTTCATAAACGAATAGTAACTAAATTATGTAACTATTATTTAATTTACGGCCGACACGAAGCTGGTCACCGAAAGTTTCTTGCGCTCATGTCTGACACGACGAGTCTATTTCTAATTCTTTGCTTTAACAATAGGTAAATGCCCTCCACTTTTGCACCCTGCACTTCACAGTTAAGAGAAACGTTCTTGCACCCCGCAGTCGCCCTTTTAATGCAGTCTATACAGTTAACAACATATGTAATATAACGGTAGCTCCGCCAGGCCGTTACATACGAATGGCATTGACTAAAATCGAGCTAGCCGTTGTCTATATATCTGATATACAGGGGGTTATATAAAATAGGAGATACACCTGAGAAATCCACATTATATATATCAGTATGGTGTGGGTACCAATTTTGCGGTAATTACAGCCTCAATTATTCAAGGTATTGACTCATACGAATTATGAATTGTTTCCAAAGAAATTTAAACCCATTCATCAGTTAAAACTCCCTCCAGCTCTTTTAAGACAATAGCGGCGGGAATCGACTACTGACTTGCATCTCTAAAATTGATCATAAATGCACGATAATATTCAGGTCTGGTGATTGTGGTGGCAAAATGAACTTTATTTAGAATGTTCTTCGTGCGACTTTTTAGCAATTCCTGTTGAACGATGCGCGTTCCTCTTCGGAAACAGTGCTTGAACCATTACATGAACTTGGTCCTCCAAAATTCCTAAATAGTTACGGATGTTAATTCTTCCATAAAGAGAAATCATCGGTCCGCCGTATTTCCAAGAAATAGCACCCAGATAATCACAGATCCCCGACATGTTTTACGGTTGGGAGGAGGCAGTCGGGATTAAGGACTCTCCAAGCTTAAACTCGGCCAGATGTTGGAAATGTGGTAAAGACGATTTAGTCAGAGGAAATCACATTATAGCACCCTTGTGTGTTAATTATGTCACCATTGTGTTAATTGCTCCGCCCTTGTGTTAATTATGGCGCCCTTGTGTTGATTGCGCCGCCCTTCTGTTAATTGTGGTACCCTTGTAATGATTGCGCCGTCCTTGTGTTAATATGGCGCCCTTGTGCTGATTGCGCCGCCCTTGTGTTAATTATGGCGCCCCTTGCAGGCGTGGTGGGGCGCACGGGGTCAGGCAAGTCCTCGCTGGCGGTGTGCCTCTTCCGGCTGGTGGAGCTCAGCGCGGGCGTCGTGCGCATCGACGGCGCTGACATCTCGAAGCTGTCGCTGCCGCACCTGCGCTCCCGCCTCTCCGTCATCCCGCAGGATCCCGTCCTCTTCAGCGGCACCGTCAGGTGAGACGTCCAGCACCCGTCCTCTTCAGCGGCACCGTCAGGTGAGGCGTCCAGCACCCGTCCTCTTCAGCGGCACCGGCAGGTGAGGCGTCCAGCACCCGTTCTCTGCAGCGGCACCGTCAGGTGAGGCGTCCAGCACCCGTCCTCTTCAGCGGCACCGTCAGGTGAGACGTTTCTCCTGATCGTATTTAACCCTTCGTTGTAACCTAACTTGATATCAAAGATACGGTTTTACAGCAATACAATGCGGTAATTTCCGTCATGTGAACGGTATTCATTCTTCACCATATGGGTGGACAATGCTTATCAATGAAATTAAAATGCTTATCATACTCTTTGTTCTAGCCATCATCGCCATCATCATCACAATGGTCACGAAATTTCATCAAAAACAATGCTTATCATACTCTTAATATTGTAGCCATCATCATCACAATGATCACAAAATTTCATCAAAAACAATGCTTATCATACTCTTAATTGTGGCCATCATCATCACCATCATCACAATCATCACCATCATAATACATGTTACAGACACAACCTAGACCCGCACGCCCGTCACCCCGACGCGCGCGTGTGGTGGGCGCTGGAGCGCGTGCAGCTGCGGGAGCGCGTCGCTGCGCTGCCCCTGCAGCTCGCTGACGGCGTCGCTGAAGGCGGCGACAACTTCAGTCTGGGGGAGCGACAGCTGCTCTGCCTCGCCAGGGCGCTGCTTAGGGACAGCAAGGTGCTCTACTTATGGTTCCTATCATAGGTTCCTAGCAATACTTATGGTTCCTAGTCCTACCAATACTTATGGTTCCTATCTCTATTTATGATTCCTACCTCTATTTATGATTCCTATCTCTATTTATGGTTCCTACCTCTATTTATGGTTCCTATCAATACTTATGGTTCCTACCAATACTTATGGTTCCTACCTCTATTTATGGTTCATACGGCGACTCATTCATAGTCTTGTCTTCAGGTAGTTAGCCAGGGGCCCTACCACTATTTATTGTCTGACTATGCATCTCCAGTGGCTTAAGATGTTAGGCATAAACGATCTGTTCTTTTATTGCAGCTTTTCGCTCGTTTTGATCATCTTTTTTATGTGTTCTGGCGTTTTGGTTTTCGCTGGTCGCACGTGCTCTCTCGTCTCACGTGCTCTCTCGTCTCACATGCTCTAGTCTCACGTACTCTCTCTATTCTCACGTGCTCTCTCGGCTCACGTGCTCTTGTCTCACGTGCTCTTTCGTCTCACCTGCTCTCTCGTCTCACGTACTCTCGTCTCACGTACTCTCTCGTCTCACGTGCTCTCTCGTCTCACGTGCTCTAGTCTCACGTGCTCTCTCGTCTCACGTGCTCTAGTCTCACGTGCTCTCTCGTCTCACGTGCTCTAGTCTCACGTGCTCTAGTCTCACGTACTCTCTCGTCTCACGTACTCTCTCGTCTCACGTACTCTCTCGTCTCACGTACTCTCTCGTCTCACGTGCTCTCTCGTCTCACGTGCTCTCTCGTCTCACGTGCTCTCTCGTCTCACGTGCTCTCTCGTCTCACGTGCTCTCTCGTCTCACGTGCTCTATTCTCGCGAACTCTATTCTCACGAACTCTCTCGTCTCACGTGCTCTAGTCTCACGTGCTCTCTCGTCTCACGTGCTCTCTCGTCTCACATGCTCTCGTCTCACGTGCTCTCTCGTCTCACAGATCCTGGTGCTGGACGAGGCGACTGCAAGCATTGACACAGAGAGCGACTCGCTGGTGCAGTGCGCACTGCGCACGGCGTTCGCTCACTGCACGCTCATCATCATCGCGCACCGCGTCAACACCATCATGTGGTGCGACCGCATCATGGTCATGGAGGCCGGCACCATCGCGCAGCTTGATTCACCTGCCAACCTCATGCGCGATACTAATGGCATATTCGCGCGCATGTTGCTGCATGCGCATACTGCTGAGCCATGAGTCATGAGGCACTTCTGAGTCATGAGTCACTTCTGAGTCATGAGGCACTTCTGAGTCTTGAGTCACTTCTGAGTCAAGAGTCACTATCCCGTACGGTACAACCATGTATGGTAATGCCATTGCCCCGACTGTGCACCATGCGATGTACAGCAAGTACTAGTACCTATACCATGCACAACTTTTGCTCATATATGTGGCCTCCTGTTGTTGGTAGGAACATTCCTGTTGTTGGTACGTGGCCTCCTGTTGTTGGTACATAGCCTCCTGTTGCTGGTACGTTTGGCCTCCTGTTTCTGGTACGTTTGGCCTCCTGTTGCTGGTACGTTTGGCCTCCTGTTGCTGGTACGTGGCCTCCTGTTGTTGGTACGTAGCCTCCTGCTTCTTGCTCGTGACCTTCTGTTTCTGGTACGTGGCCTCCGCCTCCTGTTGTTGGTACGTAGCCTCCTGTTGCTGGTACGTGGCCTCCTGTTGCTGGTACGCGGCCTCCTGTTGCCGGTACGTGGCCTCCTGTTGCTGGTACGTGGCCTCCTGTTGCTGGTACGCGGCCTCCTGTTGCTGGTACGCGGCCTCCTATGCAATATCTCATGTGATGATTAGGTGCTAATTCTACCATAATTATGCTAGTGAGAGAAGACCGATGTGAAGATTAATGCTCATATTTATTAATTGTTATCTTTATTGCTTTTATTTCTCCTCAAACGGGATGCTGGTAATGTAATTCTATTGTCGTTATTGTTATCGTTAATATTTTTATTATAAGTAGTAGTCTATTATCTTTCGCTATGCATGGGCAGCTCAAGATGTTTCAAAATTAGTTGTATTTACCTCATAAGGTTTGAGATGATGCAGTATTTTCATAACGCCTATACTAATGCTAGTCACAAACCCCTCGGGGAGCATTTTCTTATAGGACGCGTTGTCCAAAAGTTAGCTTATTGTTAACAGGTTAATTTGTTAAAAGTCTGACATAATTTCACTCGCTGTTCAGTTTAGTTTGTTTTTTTTTTTACTCGGTTGACTTCACATGGTTGTTCGGTGTTCCAATCAAGCAGGACTCACGCTTGAACTGTTCTCACTCATCATGCATGAAGCAGGTAATTAGACTTGGTAATTTCTAACGACATTCCTTGGTTGCTGACAGTTCCAGATTGCCGACAATCTTTGATTGCCAGCCGCGTCAGCTATTATGGCTACACTTTGTTGATGTGCAAGCTTTCCAATGCATCGTCACGCCAAGTTAATAAATTCCGTTCGATCCTTTGCACAAAATTACTGTAAAATGAAATTCTGGTGATCAAAGGAAGATTTTTTTTCCTGCCGCCATCGAGTGTATTTTTTCGCTATTGAGTTAGGTTATTGTAGCTATTAAGATTTTTTTTTGCCGCCATTGAGCAAGATTTTTTTGTGCACGGATTTTATATAGACAATTATTACCGCTGGTGCCTAATATACTCGTAATTTTTATTAATGAATTAGTTGCAACTCAGTTAAAGTGATCGCATCGCTCGACGATACGAACGTTATGCCTTAAATATGTGCCACAGGTAACAGATAATCTGCAATATTAGCATCGTAAGTAGTGGTAACTATGAACTTGAGTTTATTATGTATAGAAATGGACGAAAAATCATCTACCGTCTTCCAAGAATATCACTGCTAGAACTTGCGCTATATTCCGTGTACAAGGCAGTCGCCATCTTTTATTCCTGATTCCTGGTTTTTAGGAATCCTGGGATCATGTCTCATGAGTAATCCTGGGATCCTGAGTTCCAGTGGCAGTCCAGGATCCAGTGTTGCAGTAGAAATCCACTCGGATTGTTCCAGTGGCAAACCATTGTGAGAGAATGAGAGTGGCAATCCATTGTGAGAGATTGAGAGTGGCATCCATTGTGAGAGAATGGAAGTGGCAATCCATTGTGAGAGAATGGAAGTGGCAATCCATTGTTCCAGTGATAATCCAAGGATCCTGCGTTCCAGTGGCCGGAGCATATTCCTATTCCTAAAAGTTCCTGCGATTTAAGCAAATAAGTGACATCAATTCCTATTCCTGTTAAATATTCAGAGAGTATAAGGTCTTTTGCTGCCAGGCTTTTCTGCTGCAGGTTTGGCAGAAGCAGGTTTTGAAATGGACTGCTCGACTAACTTGTTTTATTTTAGTATAGTTGTAGAGCGTAAGTAATTTTATACGTTATTCTCTATAATGTTAAATGTTTTCTTGAATAATATATTTAAAATAAATTTTGCTTCCATTTTGTTGGTTGATTACAAGACGACGGAAGTTCATTCATTACTCTCACACAATACATTTGTGTACTGTCCGAACACACAGCTTTATACAAATTCTATACATCTGTTAACTGTTTGAACATACAAAATACGTTACTATTATTTGAACGTTATTAGTCGCCGCGGTAATTCCAATTCTTTAAATGGACAATAAATAAAATTCAGTGTCAAAAATATTTCCCGTATAAAAAGTTCATGGAAAACAAGAGTGTACAACGTATGGGCATGGAGGAATCATTACTACAGACGTACTCCAGTACATCCTACTCCTACGTATACTGTGTTAATGTAATTAATGTAATACACTAAGTACTTCCAAAGATGGTTAGTCTTGAAAAGAAGAAAAAGTCTTCAAACAAACAACGTAAAACACAAAGGTTAGTTTCAAGAGACAAAGACGATCAAGAAATTATTTGGCCATAAAGTAGAGAAGTCTTCTCAGTAGAGAAGTATTTATTAGATAATAAAAACATGTCTTCTGGCTTTTTTCAACGGTAAAAAGTCGAGGACTCGAGTGACCCGACGTGAGTGTTCAGGGAGAGGAACAACAGCAGCAGTTCCTCAGCTACTGCCCTACTACTGCTCATCCAGCAGTTGCTGGACCAGCATGAGCTACTGCTCATCCAGCAGTAGCTGGACCAGCATGAGCTACTGCTCATCCAGCAGTTGCTGGACCAGCATGAACTACTGCTCATCCAGCAGTTGCTGGACCAGCATGAGCTACTGCTCATCCAGCTGATGGAAAGTTACCCTAAAAATGGTCGCTGGAAATGAAATTGTGAAGTACCTAGAGAACACAAAATAAATCTAATCACAAAAAATAACAAGCAAGTCAAACAAAAAAATTCTTCATAAAATTCAGAAGAAAAGTTGATCGAAAAATAAATCTATAGCAGTGGAAATTTATAAAATCATATAAAAATATCCAAGCAAATAATTATTATACATAAAAGTTATTCAGCAGAGTTACGTATATCCATAATAAATAATATAAAAAAATAAATGTTTGATCTGATGAAACACTAGGTAGTAATAAAACAAGACCATAATTGTATTATAAGTGAGCTCTAAAACAACGTGCTACACAGAAAACACAATTTTGTGTTGAATTAATGCAGGTTTAAACATTTCACTGCACTGGAATGTAACAGAACATAAAACGCAAACTAATAATTCAAGCAATAAAATTTAAAACTCCGCGCCTGATGTGGACTTCTGTGAATTTCATGCTATGAGAACGAGGGCAACCTCCTAAACCTGGCGTCTTCCTGAACTTGATTTGCATTACAAATGTTCCAGTCCACAAACTCATAAACAATTACTACTTAGTTAAATAAAGGAGAGAAAGAGTAAATCTGATATAAACTTACAAACGTCCATCATTTCGAAACAAGAGTCATGAAACTATAACATAGACACATATAAAAATAAAGTCTTTCAATGCAAGCTTAGCAAAATCAAATCTTAGCTTACAGATGAATTGTAATCCAAACTGCTATATTCGTAGGACTCAAAGTAACTACATTTACTTATTATCTCCGTCCTGATAAACTGCTGGCGTTAGTGACTGCAGGGTCAGGAGAGAGAGACTGCAGGGTCAGGAGAGAGAGACTGCAGGGTCAGGAGAGAGAGACTGCAGGGTCAGGAGAGAGAGACTGCAGGGTCAGGAGAGAGAGACTGCAGGGTCAGGAAAGAGAGACTGCAGGGTCAGGAGAGAGAGACTGCAGGGTCAGGAGAGAGAGACTGCAGGGTCAGGAGAGAGACTGCAGGGTAAGGAGAGAGAGACTGCAGGGTCGGGAGAGACTACAGGTTTTTGCAGGTTTATCAGGTTCTAGAACAGAAACTTTGAGGACAACAATAGTTAAAACTTATTAATATAGTTAATTCACAGACACCAGAGCCCCGCAATAGATCTTAATAATACAATAAGAATAAAAGCATTGCAAGATGGTTGTGGAAGTGTTTTCCTAAATGCAACCCAAGTACCTGTTACGTGGGTGGTTCTTAATACTAATTAATAGCTATGGTTTGAGCTATAAAAGGCAACAACATGAAAAGCATTTGTGTGTGCATGCATTTTGCTCATAGAACTTTAGAGCTCACAAACCAGCATGTCGACATAATGGCCACACAACTACATTGAATGTAATTGATGACATAATAGAAAAAGTTCATTAATTCAAACAATTTAATAAACAAAATCTATCAGGATCCCAGAAACTGGAAGAAGCTTTTTGAATTCTAGAAAATGGAACAGAGAAACCATATTAAAGATTACAACGTCAACTGATGAAGGAAAAGTCTTTTACGTTTACATTAAAGATGGTCTAAGTTGCCCCTTGATTCAAATGTTTCATGAATCAGACAAAAGAATTGAAACCATGAGAGATTATTCTTAAAGCGACAGCAAATCAGCACTCAACTGAAGCAGACACCGTAAAACTTTTGCAGACAAGCAAGAAAAATATAAAAAAAAACATTCTGTTTGGTTAAAAATTCTTCCCTATAAAAATACTTGAATAAAAACAGCTTGGTGCTAACAAATGTGGCTGAAAAATCAAATTAAATGTATAGGTATATAATCTCCAAGTGTATGATCTCCCACATGTTCCATGTTGAATTTAGAATGAATAAACATGGACAAAACAAAGTGCATGGCAAATAACTGCAGCTTGTACTAACATAAAATGTTTCAAAATTTGTAAAAATCCTTCACCTCACTTATGTACAAATAAATGCCTTTGTTTGTACTCGGTCAAAATGGCCAACACATACCCAAATCCTATTGTTAAATTTATTGAATGTCAAAAGTTAATAAGAATAAAAAATAATAATTGAACTATAAACTATTTGACCAGGCACATATCAAACATGGCTGTTGGCTGGTTTTGTTACAGATAACAGATCAGTTGGTTGGCATTATATGCATGACAATTACGGTACTTGGCAACATTTGAACAAATATATAAATGGAATATACTCTTTTCCAACCTCAATATTTACTTACTATGGTTAATACTGGAACAAATGCTTTCAGATTACAATACACAGTCACACCTGAACATCCAATGCAATGATCAATAAATAATTTTTGCGATTAAATAGTAATAAGAATTAATCATCTTTACTGTTCTAAAAATTCTAAACACAGATTCTTAATAAAACTTTTGAGTATGGATTATCCTCAATTTTCAAACTAGGTATTTGAAAAAAATTGCCCCATTTTGAGACCAAAGCTAGGCAAGTACCTTTCAATTGTACAAAAAGAAAGATACTTTAGAGATGTCATTTCGTCCTCCAGTTTTTCTTCATACTTCATATTGAAAATATTTAACATAGAAGAAACTTTTATAGATCTCACTTGCCATTAGATTTAAGACCATTAAAAACTTGCCCACTTGTATAAAATTTCTAATTTGGTTTTGAATAAAACAAGAGCATTCATTTTCACCAGAGCTTCTCTTTCTTTTTAGGCAGCGTGCCCGGCTTTCTGGCCTCCTCCTTGGCAGCATTGGTGTGGTGGAGCAGCATCAGCCCACACAATATGAAGACCAACCCAAGCCACCACACTCCCGTCACCTCCTCGCCAAACAAACCTTTGCCCAGTATGCCCTGTAAATTACAATTCTAGGAAGACTTCTTAAAATTAACTTCGATAAATACAGAACATTAAAGACAAATGATACAAGCATTGCTGAATAATCATTACTGAATAGTAGAATACCTGAAGAATGGAGAAATAGTATGGTATTTTCTGAGCAAAACCTAATCCTATTAGTCAGCCGCAATAAGATTGAATAATTAAATGTGAAAAAATTAATGCAAACTCCAAATAATTGAGCCCTGGATTAAATGAATCATTAATGAAAGCTCTTTCTTATTTTTTCAAACTATTATTGCATCTCAAAAAAACTAGTTGCTAATTTTATCTGTTACAGTTGAACCAAATTGATCAAGGCATGAAATTTCAGTTAAAAAACAGAGCTTGCTGGTGATGCATCTCAACTAATATAACATGAGAACAAAAAGCAACAATAAAATATATATCCATGGACAAATATTATGTCAATGCTGAAGTTTCAGTGCATCACTCACAGTAAATAAGAAGTTAGCAGCAGCACTGGTGATGGTGGCTTCAATGCTGGTGGAACAGAAGCGGAAGGCCTTTGTAAGCACCACAAACATGAGGGTGTTCATGGTCACCATGAGAAGAAATGCAGCAATTCTCAGCCACAAACCCCACTGAAAACAGTTTATAATGAAGTACCATTATATACAATAGGATATACATACTAGGTACTTATTTCTTTCAAATTTATCTCAACATCAACTTTTATAAGTAGTAATACATCAAAAGCCAAGAAAAAAATGCTTAAAGATGCATAAAAATGTTTGGTTTATATTAGGTAAACAAATCAACCATATTCTAATACAGAAATTAAAATGCAATCCTATTATTGTAAACTGTAAACATATAATTAAGTACAAAACTCACATTATTACATGGAACATGGGGGTCTGCCACTGCACTTAACACAAGAATATCTGTGCAAAGATCTATTGCTTCATGAGAGGTCATGGCCAACTTGCCAAACATTGCTCCAAGAGCTGCATATACTCCTGAAATTATAGCATATACCTGTCCCTTCATTGCCACGTCAGTTGGAAATATCTTCTGAAAAAATTAAAATTTAGTAAAATCAGAATTGTAATACATAATAACTTCAATATTAAAAATTTCCAACAGATATGCATTAAATGTCTATTTTCATGCCCTAAGACTGCTGGACATGACTCTGTAATGAAATTTTGCATTTCCAAACTCTAAAGTAGTAATATATTTTTTTGGGCAGGAGCCATCCATAAATGAGACAAAAATGCTTGATGTGAATTTCAATTGCTTTATTGCCATTATCTAATTTCCTTAATAAAAATAAGAAAAATAATGCATTTTTCTGGTTTTAAACTGTAAAAACCTTTTTTAAACCTGTGATTTTTGTAAAAATTATCTATAATATTTAAAATTGGACATGGACCGCCTATAACGCCATTCTGAAAATCAGGCAGAATCTACTAGTCAGTCAGAAAAAAACCACCATGCATCAATGCAGGCAAGTTATACCGTCAACCAGGGCTACTCGGGACGGGCAGGGTAACTTGGGACAGTCCTCCAACACGGCGTAAAACTGTTTTAGTAGCAAAACTAATTGGAATATTGCAAAACTAAATATAGTGGCGTAAACGTCAACATTTTTTCTATCTATGTAGTATAAAGGAAAATCAAAAATACTACATTCACTAGCTTTGAAAAATTCCTGAAAAAATGGCGAAAAACAATATTTTGAAAAGTTACTTCTGCTAAGGTCTGTAGTAAAAAAAAATATTCACCGTATTAAAAAATTTTACTTACATAAAAGTTGCACCCAGGTGTCAGCTTGAAAATGTAATTGACAGATTTTGCTTATCTCATTCCAAAAAAGATGACGGTCATTTCCGCACGGTGGGGCTACTTTTCTTAACTGGAGCAAAGGCTCCAGTTAAGAAACAAAATTTATTAAAAACAAAGAATATTGATTACATGCATTTACCTTGCTGAACAAAAAAAGTTCACTTATCAAAAAATTAGTGCATCATTGGTCATCACAAAATTGTGCATAGAATGTCATATTTAGAATTGCACACCAGGCATCATAGAATGAAAAGTAATTGACCTAAACTATGATTTATTTCTCCAAAACATATGATGGCTGTCACTAAAACATTCCTTTCTGTTTCAGGTATGTTTTTCACGATCTTTTAAGCGCATTTTCTCATTTATGGAAAAAATGCACTATTGAGCTTGCCATGTCCGTCTGTCTGTCTGTCTGTCTGTCCGTAAGGCCGTGACCTCAAGTTTTCGTCGACAAGAAAATGTGCTCTCTGTCACTCACTGCAGTGAGTGAGTACTGAGTTATATTTTTTTATAGTAAATTCACTTAACCCAATTAAAATGGTGTGAAATTACAAGCCGTCCTGTAAGCTTACAGATACAGAAAAAATGCTATAAGGCTGCTGATATGTTCATGGATACGGTAATATCACATCAATAATACAGTAATATCCCATCAATAATACGGTACCATCAACTGGGGTGACTTTGGCTGCCGGGTGACTTCGGGCACGTTTTTTATTTTGTTTTGCAAACAAAAGCAGGGTCATAAACGATGGCCAAAGTCACTCTGGCGTTTATGACCTCGTTTACGACCCTGGCGTTTATGACCCCGGCATTTAGGACCCCGTTTTTGTTTGCAAAACAAAATAAAAAACGCGGCCAAAGTCACCCCAGTTGATGGTAATTAATGTTTATGGTAATATCATATCAATAAAGGAAAAACAAGTAAAAATCACAGAAAATTTCATTTATTCTACCTCTACATCATCTACAATGAAAGAGGAGGACTTCTGAGTACTGTTAGTAATGGATGAGTACACTCTGCATGCTTCAAATGTTTTAAAATGTAGTTTTATTCCAAGTGTCCTGAGTAGCCCCGTTCGACGGGGCTACTCGGGACACTTTTTTTTTTTTTTTTTTTGCTTCTGGCACCTTACGAATAGCATATGGAATTTTTTTAAGATGCCATTTGATAGCCCTCGCAAAGAGCTATGAAATGAGCCTAAACTTGTCTATGAAATGTTTCATGGTAAGAAGTTATGAATGAAAAACGTTCGAAATCGTCCCAAGTAGCCCCGGTTGACGGTGTTCAAATAATAGAGTTAAATATATTTTCCATCATTTTGAAACTTTATACAATATTATCACTATGGAGCACTAAACATCATAGTGATAATATAATAATATAGTGCAACTATAATATAGGGGGCTGTGGGCCAGGTTTAGTTTGCGGGAATGACAGCTCAAGGCGGACAGGCAAAATTAACTCCATTGATAGAATTCCACTGTTTTTTGCTTATATTTGCAGTACGCGCATAGACAACAGAGGTGCACTTCTGTAGTAGTTTTAATTTTTTCACTTTGCAACATATTCATTGGGTATTCCTGGGATAATAAGTAATTTGCAAATCCCATTTGTGAGTGGCTTGCATTTGTTGAATGCAAGTCACTATATATTAAATAGAGTCAAGGTTTGGTAATTTTGGTGATGGAGTAGGCAGTGAGTTCAGGAGTAAAGAAGGCACTGCTGGTTTGAAAAAATTAAACCATTAATACTTTATCCATGAGGTTTGTTTCATATAAAGAATCCAATGTACATAGACTGAAGGTTATCTCATTATTAACAACCAGTGTTTTCATTGTCAAGTTATTGAATGACTGAAGAAACCTACCGACAATGACTGGATCAACTTACCAACTAATGACCAAGATAATTTTACAACTACAACTACTAAGCCATATTATGAAACCTGACAGCAGCGCTTGTACTGGGGTGCTTGTCCCACAGCAACTAAATAACTGCCATTTCCTTATAATTACAACCCCCTTCTGCTCAGACTGCTCCTCAAGTGAGTAGAGATTAACAGGATTGGAATTTTCCTACTTGTTTCTGAAATCTTGCAGCTCCAATGTTACAAATTTTCAATACAATTGGAATCTTGCAGCACGATCATGCACTTTTGCTAACAATTAGATAGGAGGTAATTTATCTTGCAGTTTCCAGAAATGGCAGGGAAGCTCTAGTTGAGGCCCTAAAGGTAGATGTTTTCCATGCTTGGCACTTTAGTGCTCCACCCAATTTTGTGGATCTAACTGAATGACCAAGAATTTAGCCATGAAGTATGATAATTCATGTATCCATGATACTTTACTGGTCTACTTATACTGGAAGAGTGGAGTCTAAAAAGAGTCTCTGATTGCCACTACAGCATTAGCCTATGGCCCTAAGTTAGGTAGGGTAATCAACATATTCTTTTAAAAGTTAAATTCAAAGAGTTAGGGTGAATGCGCCATATTTTGACACTGTCAGTAATTCCGACACCCCTCAACTTTTTCCTTTATATTAAGCTTGGTCTTAGTTCCAAGCATGTGTAGATGGTTGAAATAGTGACATCATACTATTGCGTGCAAGATTTCCACAAAACACTAGGTCTAGCAGGAAAATGTTAAGATCAGCAGAGCAAAAGTCCAAGTCAGCTAGTGAGAACATCAAAACACATATGAAAGTTGATAGTTGACCTTGCTTTACTAAATAGTGATAAATGGTTTGTGTAAAAAGAATATTATGGTTTGAGACTTTTAAATAAGTCTGTGAATATATTAGGAATCCTTTAGGTATACGGTAGTACTTGAAATGCTGATTTCAAGTGATAAATAAATTAAATAGATGATTAAGTTAAGAGACAGTTTTAGACACATAAAAACTAATTCCAACACAGCTTGGAATTAGACACACGCAGTTCGATCCAAGCTGTGTGCAAAAATTAAAATTTTCTTAAATAAAAGCTTAATAGCTCTTAATTAAAAGCCTAATTAAGTAGTGTTCAATATTCAATAGTGTTTTAATTCCGAGCTGTGTCGTATTCCAATACAGCTCACACAGCGATCAAAATTCGAACACAAGAAGGTTGGAATTATGAATTAGTAGTTTGAAGCGTGGCCAGAATTAGTCTCACAAAATGCCAAATTTAGTCTCACACAGAGTCAGAATACATGGATTTGGTAGGTTTGCATTCTAAATGCTTTTAAATAAATATGGCAACAGTTTGTGAAGTTTCATTGTTGCAGATGCGGAGTCAGGCATGGAATATATCTGCTTGGTGAGCCGCGACTGAATTTTTTTAGCCGTGGTTTTATGGATTTGCCAGCCGTAATTACATTTCTTCGAGCCGTGATTCTATTTCACCAAGCCGTGAATTCCATATCTTGGCCATGAAAAGCCATTTACAAGGCGCAAATTTATTTACAAAGTCCATGCACGGCCGCACGGGTTACCCAAATCTCTAATTTTACCCTAAAACAGTCAAATGTCAACAATAAAATTTGTCTTTACTGTAAGTTGAGCACATGTTAATGCAGTCTGACCACTTTGACATGACCGCAACTATGCACGATCTTCAGCAAAACATTTACCTAGTTGATTTGTTTACATTACAATGTTATGTTTTTTCTGCAGAATATTTTGGCGGGAACGGTAAAGCAATGCGGATTGCGGAAGTTGAAAATTTTATGAAGTGACATGTTTGCAAAGTGCAAACCGCGATTTTTTAATCAAACAAAAATTTATGACATTCGAGCCGCGAGATTTCATACCTACTGAAATTATATGATATTAGAGCCGCTATATTTCAGACAAAAATAGGACTTTTCCTGCCCTGTGCGGAGTGCAAGGTTTTGAGAGTGACCGTCAGAGACCTAAAGCAAAAAGAACTCAACTTGCACAGAAGGTGATTTTTTTATAACCATTCATTTTTTGCTACGTTGTTAATGTGTTAGAATATACGGTGTTTACCCTATGGTGTGTTTACCCTTCATTGGACATCCATGACTCAATTTTTTTTACATTTGGACAATTTACTTTGAAACCACCTATTTCAAATATAGACAATATATGAATTTATGAAAACATTTAGGCAATAAAATTCAGTTGGAAAGTGTCCTTCATTTGACATCCAAGACTCAATTTTTTTTACATTTGGACAATTTACTTTGAAACCACCTATTTCAAATAAAGACAATATATGAA